TTATGTTTCCCCCCCAGTAGAAGATAATTGGAATAGTCTCCATATACTTGCTTCAATGAAACATAAAACATTAAAATATCAACAATGTCAACAATATACTTATATTGGATTTTACTTCTAAAAGAATTATATGAATTTTCACTCATTCAATTAAGCCACAAATAAAAGCAACCCTCTAATTTTTTATCAATTTATATTTTCCAGGGTTGAAGGAACTGTAGAGGTGAAACATTAATTCAATTTGTATTTTGTCAACTATATATTTGTGTCTGAACTTGATTATTACTGTTTATTTTCTCATTTTTTTCACTTATTTTTATTCGTATAACAGAACAGCTGAGATTTCATCTATACGTGGAGTTATAGATTGTGTCTCATTTACTTCCTATGTGAAAACTCTTATCTTTTCAACGTGAATGTTCTTTGTTGTCATTGCTCTATTGTCTTAATCTAAAAAACACATAACAGGAAGTATACTTGTTGTCTTAATTCTTTCGAATTAGTGGCGAAAAATAAAATAGGTTGAGAGATATTTAGTAGAGGGTGACGCGATTGATTTGGAAAATATAAAATACAGGGTGCAAACATTGAGAGAGATTTTTTTAACCTGGTGATGTAATTGTTAAGATTTATGGAAAATATAAGTTAATTTGATTTGCTCCAACTTGTGCCATTACGGACCTTAATGACAAAGTTATTTCCTATGTGAACTAGTAACCCTCGTCCATTTTGTAGAGGGCATAGAGGCTTTCTTATAAAATTAAAACAACAAACTGATTTTGGATCATTTTGGATTGTTCTGAAAAGTAAGAAAAAAATTAAATTTATTTACTCCTTTTTTTTCTTACACATACAAAAACAAAAAAATAATTACAGAGATAATTTATAATGACAAAAAATTAGAGATAATTAAATTGAAGTTGGTGGTTAAATGTATGGACTACATTTTGGATAGTTATCCATGTGAATCTATCAGGCCATCCGTACCAATTATTTGGTATTACAAAACACATGCTTACCCATCAAAGTGCCAATTTTTTTTTTCCCTTCTTACGTACGAAATTGCTACGGACTATTAATTAAAATAATTTATTACTCTTTTCATGCATATATGTCTGCACACCTCTATGGACAGAATAATTATGATATTTGCTTCCGCCAACCCCTAATTTTGTAAATCTATTTAACTGGCCTTCGGTAATCTTAGGATTACTGGCCGGTCATACCTATAGTAGCGAGTTTGGGTCGTGATAGAGTGGTATCAGAGCACGAGTTATACCGTACACATGAGTCCATATAAGCTACAAGATGTCATAGAAAGAATTAGGGGCATTACATCAGCATGTGTTAGGAACCGCAACAGCTGGTGCAGTGTTGAGGGAACAACCCCCATTGCATGCAGCCATGGCCTTCCCAGGATAACATTGTAAGGGGAGTGGGTGTCAATTATTGTGAATTCTGCGTTTACCTTCTTGGTGCCAGCCTGCACCTCCAAACTTATTACTTCCAGGGGCCACGTCGGCGTTCCGTTGAACCCAACTATTGGACCATTGGACTGCTCCAGATCATCTTGGTGAAGACCAAGCTCCTTGTAACATCTGGCATATATGATGTCACAAGAGCTGCCCTGGTCAATTAGAATGCGCTTTACCTGGCACTCTCCAACCTCTCAATTCTCAATTCTCAATTCTCAATTCTCAATTCTCAATTCTCAATTCTCAATTCTCAATTCTCAATTCTCAATTCTCAATTCTCAATTCTCAATTCTCAATTCTCAATTCTCAATTCTCAATTCTCAATTCTCAATTCTCAATTCTCAATTCTCAATTCTCAATTCTCAATTCTCAATTCTCAATTCTCAATTCTCAATTCTCAATTCTCAATTCTCAATTCTCAATTCTCAATTCTCAATTCTCAATTCTCAATTCTCAATTCTCAATTCTCAATTCTCAATTCTCAATTCTCAATTCTCAATTCTCAATTCTCAATTCTCAATTCTCAATTCTCAATTCTCAATTCTCAATTCTCAATTCTCAATTCTCAATTCTCAATTCTCAATTCTCAATTCTCAATTCTCAATTCTCAATTCTCAATTCTCAATTCTCAATTCTCAATTCTCAATTCTCAATTCTCAATTCTCAATTCTCAATTCTCAATTCTCAATTCTCAATTCTCAATTCTCAATTCTCAATTCTCAATTCTCAATTCTCAATTATATGAATTTCATAATATGACATTAACAATTATCAATTATATGAATTTCGGATTTTTTAATCGCAATTCTTAATTAAAAAAAATTACTTTTAAAACCCTAATTTCCTTTTAATTCCTCTTCACAAGCAAAAAAAAACAATTTCCAATTCAACAAATGTACGTTGGTTTATTCAATATTCAAAATATAGACATTTTGATTCACAAGCATAATTTCAAAATTCTAATTCCTGATTTCAAATTTAAAAATATAAACATTTCGTCATTTCAATTCTCAATTCTCAATTCTCAATTCTCATATTTATGATTTATTTAAAAAATTCAAAAAATTAAATAAATTCCAAACCCGATTTATGATTCAAAAGCATAAAAATTTAAAAGCATTATAACCCTTAATAATGTGAACCCTAAAATGACATCCTAATTTGAACAATCCTAATAATGTGAACAATCTGATATCGAACCCTAATTTCATCACCACAACCACACTGACAAAGCATAAACATTCATAACCATATTCAATTCACAAGCAACATCCAAAAATTCAAAAGCAAAAAAATTCCACAAATTCAAAACCATTCGCATTTCTGATTTCCAAACCCTGATTTCTGATTTCAAAAAATTTCAAACCCTAATTTCATAACCACAATGATAAAATCCCTAACACATTTAATAATTCACATGTAAAACCCTAACATTGACAGAAAAATACAACACATTTACAAATATAAAAACTAAATACATAAAATTAGGGTTAATGTCATACCACGGAGAGAGAGAGAGAGCAGAGACAGAGAGTGAGAGCAGAGACGGAGAGCAGAGAGCAGAGACCGAGAGCAGAGAGCAGAGACCGAGAGCAGAGAGCGAGAGCGAGCTGAGATGGAGGAGGGTGAGAGATGGAGAGGCTGAGAGATGGAGAGTGAGCTGAGAGCGAGATGGAGAGCAAGACCCGAAAAACCTAAGTCTGAAAAACGTATGCAAATGAGGGGGGGCTTCGTATATATGAGGTTAAAAACGCTGATTGAAAAAGCGTTTTCATTTAAGTGAACTAGCTATTAGCAATAGCGTTTTTCTGGCAAAAAAATTTTGTGTAAAATCGCTATTAACAATAGCGTTTTTGTGGCAAAACAATTTTGTGTAAAAAGCGCTGTTCTTAACAGCGTTTTCCTTGGGAAAAAAATTAACCCTAGAAGCGCTATTTGTAACAGCGACTTCTTAATCAAAGTCGCTATTTGTAATGGCGATTTTCCTGTTCATCTACTTTTGCGCTCCTAACAGTAAAAGCGCGAATAGTAATGGCGCTTTAGCTTAGTTTTGGAATTCCGTCAGAAGTTGGCCTAGTTTTGGAAATACAATGTAAAAAAGACTTATATTGGGAAAAGCCTCTTCTTAAACCTCTTCTTGCCCGCATGATGGATGATTATTTTGCGGTCTTATAGTATTGTTTCATGCCATTTATCACTTAATATTTATCAAATTAATCTCTAAAAACCCAATAAAAAGTATTGAGTTTTACTATTTTAAGCAATGAATATAAAGTTGAAACACCCACCTAGTACTGTCCCAAAGAGCAAAAAATAATTTTCCGCACCTGACCCTATGCCTAATAAAGTATAAAATTCATATAAAAATTTATCAAAGTAGGAAATCTTATATAATTTAGGATTCATATTATTATTTCCAGTTCACATAGTAGACTAGACCGTACTGTTTGGGTCCATTATAATTTTTTATTAGGATGAAGTACTCGGCGAATTCTATACATTGAATGATTCGAATCAGCAAAACAAGACTCGTGATCGGTCCCCACATGCCAAGAACATACTTTAGTCCGATCTCAATCAGGGGAGAGAAGCCTAACCCAATAATTCAATGGTAAGAAGTGCGTTACAATAATTAATGGATAAGAAATTAGAGTCCTCTATTGTTAAGCTCGTTTGAAGGATTTTGATTCTCTCTATTTCATATATGTAATGAAATTTTTTTATTACATATCCAATGGTTATGAAATAGGAATGTAAATTCATAATTAATTTAAATTAAAAAAATCATTACACTCACCGTTGAATGACGGAATAGAACCTCTCCATTACAAATATAAAATGGAGAGGATCACCATCCAATTTTGAGCCTAAGTGACTCAGGGTAGTTTACACAATAACTATGGTTAATTACACTTTTAACACATAATTTAACATATAATTTGACATAAATATTATTTTGACCTCTATTATTTTAAATTAAACAATTTGATTTATGCATTTTAAATCTAGTTTCAAATTAGCCCTTCTATTCAATTTGAGGGTTAAAATTAACAATTTTAAAATACTTATCAATCTCTTATGATGTACACCAAAAGAATTAACAAAAATATAGACAAACAAACCAAAATGAACCTGAACTTAAAAGTGAAAAAATTAAATTATTCAAATTGAAATAATTGGTACATAATAAAATTTGAACCAAACTATGAGTGAAAAGTGTAATTTATCCCAATAATTATTATCCACAAACATCACTACCACATAGGTAAGGCCTTATAACAATGGCCTTGTAACAATTATGACTTATTCAACCAGAAAAAAACAAGCAGCCTTATAACAGTTGTTATTGACATGAAAATTTGCATTCTTTCTTTTTTTCTTTTCCATAATTGGGTTAACAAAGAGAACCAATAGAAACAGTCCTTCACATTAATTAATTTGACATGTCACCCATTGTTTTTCAGAATTGTCACTTAAAGTACATTACTATGGTCTCCATCATCTCTATCATCAACACAAATACCATTCCAAACTTCCCCATCATCAATACCACCTTAAAATTATCATTCAAGCAAACAAGCTTCAAAATTATCAAATCCAATTGCAATGGCTAGGAATGCAGCTACAAACAAAATATTAGTAAATACCAGTCATTCTTTTCCAAAAGCTGGCATACGAGAGAGAGAGAGAGACAGACAGAGAGAGAGAGAGAGAGAGAGGTACCAAATTGTTCACACTACAGCAACACAGAAAAATTTCAATCAAACATCACATTGGCTAGAGAAAAACTGCTCAACATAGGCCAAATAACCAGCCATCATGGTTACTTTGATACAGGTTTTTATACACCGGTTCAGACACTGAGGTTGAAAAATAAATGTGACCATATAAGATGGGGAAAAAACTTCAGTCATCGCCTAAGGCTGCATTTTCACTCTGTTAACCCAGTACCTGAGTTTTCCAAGTCAATATCTCCCATACCCGTATCTTCCTCCTCTTCACTGTCTTCATCGCCACTGACCTCTTCATTTTCACGGCCCAGCTTAGCCATCTGTTCAGCAAGTTGTTTATCTTCCCGTTCACTCACCTGCATCAATGTACCATCACCCAATGAGATACACAATCACAGAGAGAGAGAGAGAGAGAGAGAGAGAGAGAGAGGATTTCTGTGCTAAGGATAAAATTTTTTGGGGACCTGGTTTAGATTGACTGGACTCGAGAGGAAACAAATAGCAACAAGATTAATATTGAATAAAATGGAATTGATTCTTACTGCTCTGGCTGCCTCCTTTACAATAAGTTTTCCCTTGTGACGTGCTATTTCTTCAGAGCAAGCGGCAATTGCTTTATTAAGAATTGTTATGCCTTGTTCCTGCCGACCAAATAAAATAACAACACTTCATTACAGTTTCATATAAACCTAGGAGGTCATTGGCCAAGGATAATCGGAAGTGTCACTGAATCATAGTGGAAGCACTTTCAAGAATGCATGTAACAAGATTAATTTCAAAAGTAATGAGAAACAGAAATAAGTGGATGAAACTGGTCATTCTAATGGGTACATATTATCCAGGAGGTGTCTTTCCAGGTCGCTAATTTAGAATGAGTCATGAACATATACATGCATGAACAAGGACGGACCAAAATTGCCAAACAAACACATCCACACAAGCATTTGTCACAGAAAACAGAATCTGGAAGCGGAATATTTGTTATAGCAGCAAGGCTATGGATAAGCTGAGTAGCTAGGACATAGGAGGAATAGGGAATCATTGGATCATTTATTCTTGCATTGTCCCGAAGCTTCGTATTTATGGCACCAGCTATTTTGTTTTATTGATACACATTGGGTCACTCCAGGTACTCGTGCTGGTATGCTTTTAATTGATTTCCGGGGTTTTGGCAGCAACAAGAAAGCAAAAACACTGTGGCATTGTGTTGTCTTCGCGATCTTTCGGGTTGTTTAGTTGGAAAGGAATGCAAGGATCTTTGAGGATAAAATTGCAGATTTGGATTCAATTTGGTAGAGTGTGTCATTTGGCTTTGTTTTGCACTCATATCTCTCATCCGTTTAAAGGGTTCCGCTTTTCTTTTTTTCTAATATCTAAAGATTAGAAAGCTGTTTGTGAATCTTGATTTCTTTTCTTTGATATGTTTTATCGTGGTTTTTCACATTGTATAAGAGGACATCTTGTCCTCTCTTTGTACCTCTTTTTTTTTCATTTTAATGAAGTATCTTTGTGTTGCTGATAAAAAATAAAATATGAAAAAATAATGCGAGCCCTATAGGAACGATGATAATATATTGAGCAGAAACCTATCTGAAGGATTTAGATGGAGAAACATTTGTTAATTAATGGTAATTTTTTCCTAACAAAAAGTAGTTGAGATTTCTCCAAAAGCACATTAAAATAAAATCAAAAAGAAAAAATAGTGCTATTTTCCTATATACAAAAATGGGCAGCTGGGGCAGGGCTTGTGTTTTCGTACTAACAGGGCTAACCAGTAGAGATTAAAAAATTCATGATTCATGATTGCAAAATCAGACTTGAATTTTGTGAAAATAATATGCATCGAATAAGAAATTAGCTCATCAAAACTGTCAACAATTGCCTCCTATGCCAGGTCTGGTAAAATAAGTCTTTACATTTTAGTCAGACATCAATCACATAATAAATCACTAAAGACTCTTAAAAGGAAATTCCACTCACATTGCCCCAAAAAAAAGAGACGAGGGATGTATGCAAGGTAAAAAATGAAATTTCATGAGGAATTTTTGTTACCTTGTCAAGTGTCTGAGTATTAAGAACATATGATGGAGGAGCTACCAATTTAATTTTCACTGGGCAATCTTTATTGCCAGCCGCTTCAGCTTTCCGCATGGCTTCCTGTGAAGGCAGATATAGAAACAAGTTGAAAACAAGTCTGGAATAAACTAAACCTTCCACAATACGATCATATGATTCATTGAAGAATGAACTGATCAGAGAAAAGATGATAGAGGCAAAGGAGAAAGGCAAGACCTTAATGTGAAGAACACCATCAAACTCGAAACATTTCATCTCAATATCAGCCCGAATTTTCAATGGTTGTGGAGTCATTCTTCTCCTAATGTTTTTTACTAAAGCATCTTTAACTTCATCTGATATAGCAGGAACCACTTTAGTCACCTATGGAACGAGGACATAGTAAGTAGCCTTGTTGCCAATAGGAAGAATTTGGCTCTAGATACCTTAAGGCAGTGCTTGGATCATAGATTCAAGTAGGGATTTGGAAAATAAAACGCAAGGGAAATGGAGAAAAGATTAAACATATAAATCATTCACATGTCCCTCACCGTCCCTTTCCCTTTCCCTTTCCAAATCTCTACCTAAATCCATGATCCAAACACGGCGTAAGTAAACAAAGATTACCTCCTGTCCATCAAGGCCAATTTCTTTAACTTCACGGGTGAGGGAATTAAGGACTGAATCAGGATCAGTAACGATTAACTTGAATGCCTGCACCAGGGGTAAGAAAATAGTAAGTAGAGGTAGCTTATCGCTAGTTGAGGAGATAATGCCAAAAAGCATGAGACAATCTTACCTCAAAAGCATGACCATATTTCCGGTACAAAGGCCAGCCAACATGAATATACAGATCCTGTCAAAGATAATTTGCTTTTAAATGTGGCCACATGTGTGGAGAGAAAAGATAAAAAATAATCATCACAGCACTACAGTCAGTATGTATTACGGTTGAGCATAACAATTTTATTTATTTATTATTTTGATAGGTGGTTTAGCATACAATATTTTAAAAGGAATTTGACCAGAAGAAAGATTTATCTGAAATAACTGTTTGGTTAAAGAAAGAAAAGAACCTAAGACACGAGAAAATATCCCTGTTTTTGAGAGAAAGGTGAATAGAATTTCCCTCAAAAATCTAAAGCTTTACGCAAATACAAGTGTACGGAAAGTAGGAAGGAAACAAAAAAAAATAAAGGGAACATTACACTCACTAGAACTTGTCACCTCAGTCACATGAAAGGCATTAGTTGCAACTAGGTTAACATTATATCAGCTCCAATAAAAAAATAAAAAGCCTATTATGAACCAGCCCCAAAGTAATTATTAGCACCACACTAGCACTAGCCTCCAACATTATCAAAATTATGCCAAATTAACAACCACAAACACCTACATAAGAATAAGGATGGGGCCAGATTTCAGATGAACATATCCACTCCTATTGCGACAGGGATTAGGCATCTAAATGTCAGTCAGGCAAGGGTGGGAAATATACACAGCCTGCCATGTGTTCACAACAGAGATAGGTATAAGCCAACCCGATTCTGAACTGTCCCAAATACATATTCTACATGCTATTCAACATGACTTGTAAGGTTTTAAAGTGGATATACATGTTTGTTGTCCATCAAAACTTCAGAGCACAACAAAATAAAACCACATCATATTGGAGGTGAGAAGATATATCCAAAAAAAGTATGCCCCATGTCAATTATGAGGAATCTTTTTTTATTTATTTTTTAAAGTGAGGCCTTGATGGCCCCATACAAGGCCTCCCATTCAGTAAACTCAATTCAGGTATAAACTCCACAGCCAAATTGGAGCTCATTGCATCAAATTATTACTCGTCATGATAATAAAATATATATACTAAATTAATATTAAATCAATATGGATGAAGATTTCCACCCAAACTTTGCCACACATTAATGGAGCAAAGTACAAAATGTGCCCAGCCCAGCCCCACACCCTCACCCGATCTTAGGGGAAGGGAGCAGCTCAGGAAGATCATATTCCCTGGTGCAGGGTTGAAAGAGAAGCACCAACTTAACCAGGAAGTTCCCATTCCCTATAGCTACCCCACCCCACAATAGCATCTTATTTCATCAAGATTACCAGCTGTCGACTTGTATAGCAACACCTCCCAAATTCACACATTCCAGAAGATGAAACCAGTGTATTTCATACATTCACAGAATCAAAAACTTATCAATCATCAACTAATGACTACTTATTACCAAAAAAAAAAAAAAAAAGGATGCTAAGATCTCACTTTGCAGTATGCATGTCCACAGAGAGAAGCCAATGGCACGTGCAACTATTACATTGCCTCAAAACTTCTGTACTTGTCAGACGATATATTTAACATTTAAATATGTAGATATATGTTTTTAAGTAATTTAAAAAAAGTGACCGAATCTTTACGATTCACGATTCGATTCGATTCGCGATTCGGTACGAGGCCATTTCGATTCACAATACGAATCCCGATTTGACAACTATGCGTGCAACTATCACATTGCCTCAAAACTTCTGTACTTGTCAGACAATATGATGTAGGACAACTTTAAGAAACTCCGAGTATTGATGCCTAAGAGTGGATTTTGTGGTGGGAGTTTTCCATGGAAAGTTTCTAGAATTAGGGTTCTATAAGGTAGAAAAGGCTTCTACGAATTCTAGATGGAAAAGATGAGTTTCTTTGGTTTGATTTTCAAAAGTTGTAGGTTGCAGGATTTATGGAATATGCCACTGAAATTCTCCAAATTGGGGTTACTTTGAAGTTGTGGTTGTGGGCATTAAACCATGAATAGTAATTTTGTACGAGAAGTAGTAGAAGAAGGATAAGAACGTAGAATTTCGACCTAGAACTCCTACAGAATTACCTTCCAAGGAAAGATTGTACAAAAACATAAAGCTACAAAAGTTTCACACAAATTCTCTAAAACTCAACTATATAAAATAGAAAAATTTGTTGGGTTTTTCGGATTCTAATATGGCTATGATTCCAAAATTGGGAAATTAAGGTTGTGTTTGGTGGGACTTTGTAATCAATTTTTCACCCACTGATTTAAATGTTACGTTTGGTTTTAGTTTTTAGAAATCATTTCCACACCCGCGTTTGAAAACTCGTCTACTCGGTCATCCCCCTAGACGCCCCCCGAACGTCCAACCTGTTGACCGGAACAATGTTTGTTTGTTTGTATATTTTTTTTTTTTTTTTTTGCACCTGTTATTTTTATATTTTAAACAAAAAATATTTTCGTATTTTTTTTAAAATTTTTTATGAGTTTTGAATAGAATTTTGGGTTGTGTGTTTGATTATGAATTGTAGATTTTGAATCAAATATCATATATCACGTCAAAAATTTCAAACTCATTTCAAAACTTTCTTCAAAACTCATAACCAAACAAATTTTTCTCACTCAAATCATAATTCCAAAACTCACAAACTCAAAATATAATTCTATTCTCAAATCATAATTCTAAAGCTCTACCAAACGCTACCTAAATTTTTTTTGACCAGCTATAATATTCTAAACTCAATACAGATTTCATGAAGACTCAATAACATTATTTGACCTGTAATATGACTCATAGTAGACCCCTACAAACGTAAAGAAAATTGCAAAATTATCAAAATATCTACTAAAATTAAAATCTAATAAAAAAAACAACTAAACACGTCGAACAACAGTTTAACATATGAAAAATATTAAAACAAGAATCTAATTAACCCTAAACATGGTTGTACAAATCCCTAGGTACACTACATGTAAAATAATTCCTACTATAAATTTCGTTAGCATAGGCAATGACATACCAAGTACTAAGAATAAAAGTATTCTTGAAATTATTTTTGCATAGAAGCTTCAAGACACCATTGGACAGAAATTGGGCACTAGACCCATATTTTTTCTATGACAAAGAAAATTGTTCATAACAGAAAATAGTGTTAATATGAACCAGATAAATTCCACTCAACAAAATAACCCGTTAATCAGTTGCCAATTGTCTAGGGGACCAATGTACTATAAACCAATTGTCTAGGAGACCAATGTACTAAGTTTCAAATAACTCAAACTCAATCTTGAAGATCCAAGTAATCATAAAAACAGCATTACCACTTCATTCCCCAAACCATCGACATTAACAATCTTCTTATCTACACAGAAAATACTACCTGGAAATATTTTTCTTGGCTTTTTAAGGAGTACTTTGACCAACATTTACATCTTCCCATAGTATTCCACTAGGGATAACATATGTACTCAGGCTGGAATTTGAGCTCAACAGTGTGTTTAGGAAAGAAAGGGGAAAAGAAAGAACTTCAAGAGGACATAAAAAAATTGGAGGTGGTAACTGTAACTCCCCGTCTTGTTTGAGAAATTGGAGGTGGTAAAGGTAAGGAGAGGAATCTTTAGCATGCCAGTAGAAAGTGTGAAACAGGAAATAATTGTTATAAAAGAGAAAGGATAAAACCGTCTTCACTCCTCTTTCCTTCATCTCGATTCCTCGAATCTCGATTTCTTCAACCTATGGGAAGAAAGCAGAGTGGGCCTCAAGTGATGAGGAACCTCTCCCTCTCACTCCAAATCACATCCATCTTTTTACTCCAGACAGAATATAGCACCATCTCTTGCCCTTTTCATTCATTTCTATCTAGGTTACTCAAACCAAATGCACTATAAATGCATAAATGAACTTTAACATCTCACTTTAAGTGGAAATGAGTGAAGGACAGTTTTTTCCAAGTCAGCGGGCAGAATTTATTTCTCAGGTCCTGACTAAAGGATCTCAATTCTCACTCCCTATTTACAAAATCAGCATAGGAAAATTTTCTTTGCAAATACTGGCTCTAGCACATACATATGCCTGATCAAAAGTTTAGTTTCTTTATTTATTTATTTTTTATAAGTAAAAATATCATTAATATCCAAAGTTTAGTTTCATTAAGGGATTGGTAAGGCCTCATGCTAAGTCAACAGCTCAAACAGTTTTTCACCCAAAAATTTGATGCTTTCATTACAAATTTCAGTCATTTCTTTATAATTTGCTAAGAATAACTCAAACCAAAACTTAAACATTACATCCCAAAATTCCAAACATTCAAAGAAAACATGACACCAATTGTAAAAGTATGATTTTAAAATGCCAAAACTAAACAACTTGAGGCCTAGTATCTAAATCATCAGAAACCGCCAGTTCTAAAATTTGAGAACCCTTAACCCAAATCATGACCACTAAAATGTTTCATACAACATGACCTCCTCAAGCCAGATAATCCTATCATAAACCCTAGAGAGTATTCCACAAATACTAATTACCCTAATCCAAATATAAAAAACCTTACATGCGTCCAACAACTAAGATTAGGGTACTTAGGATTACGAGCATCTCCAATACTTCACCAAATCCCTTCATCAAACTAGTATCAAATCAAGTTTTCACCAAATATTTCATCAAATCAACCATAAATCAAATCTTTAGCTAAATTTTTCTTAAATTGGATGAAATTGATCAAACCTGTATCAAATCAAGTTTTCACCAAATATTTCATCAAATCAACTTTAAATCAAATCTTTCACTAAATTTTTCTTAAATTGGATTAAGTTGTTAAAAGATAAAGGATTGGAGATGGGTTTTATTATTATTATGATTATTATTATTATTATTTTAAATTTGATGAAAATTTTAATTATCATCATTTGAGTTAGCTATATCAAATCAAGATTTCGGTCTAAATTCTTAAACAAATTTGATGAAATGAACAAGGGAAAGGAGGTTGGAGATGGTACCTCGAGATCGAGATTCATAGTCTCGGCAACATGACGCATAATGGAGTGAACGAGCTTACTCTTGTTATACCTCTCCTCACAACCCTGAATATCCTCCTCGGAGACCCTCCTCTTGCTAAGATCTATGTAACCCTTTTCTTTATCAACACGAAGGACCATGACAGGCTCGATGCGGCCGACCTTGATGAGGCTGCTGACACTTCGAATTCGGCGGCGAGAGAGCTCGGAGAATAGAATCATGCCCTCGATGTTGTTGTACTCCAGAAGAGAAACGTAGGCTCCCATGTCTGCGATGTTCTTCACCTGAATCATCACCGCCATGTCCACCTCTGGGTACTTGGCTTCATACATACGACACTCTAAATTGGGCGTGTTCGTCGCCATGGTTGAGGGGATTGGAGTTCTAGGGTTTTGAGGGGACTGGGGTTCTAGAGTAGAGAGAGAGAGAGAGAGAGAGAGAATGGTGACTTTAGAGTGAGAAACTGGCGGCGGCTCACCTGTTAACGATAAAAAAAGAGAGTGAGAGAAATGGTCAGGTGAGGTTCTCTTCCGACCGTAGCTGTAAGAAGATAGTAGATATTTAACACGACGTCGTTGGGTTTATGAGCCAGTTGACAAAAGAAATAATAAAAGAATTTTAATGGTCGACACGAGGATTCGAACCTGCGCAGGCGAAGCCCAACAGATTTCGAGTCTGGTGGTCTTACTTTTAAAAATTGTTAATTAAATTGTTTTATAAAAAATTTCAAAACAAAATGAAAAGTTATCATCGCCCACCGTGGGGCTCGAACCCACGACCACAAGGTTAAGAGCCTTGCGCTCTACCAACTGAGCTAGACGGGCTTGTTGGTGTTTTGAGTGGATGTATTTTAATTAAACAAGTTCTCACATCCGCTCATACACCGCTAATAAGATTATACAAAATATCGCTCAATCCACTAAAATTGCTTGATCGGCCACTGACTATAAAAATTAGTTTAATCCGCAATTCAAAATTTATAAATCACCTTTAAAATTGTTTCACTCCGCTGTAATTAATATATATATATATATATATTTATCTCAAAAGAAATATCAAAGTAAAAATCAATGTGATTTTAATATGTGGAATTTGTTGCAAATTAGTATTATATATATAATATTATGTAAAATTAGTTAGTGTCATATATATGAAAAATATTATATAAATTAGTGTTATATATTATATAAATGCTTGATAATTGTTTAAGATTTTTTTTTTAATTAACTAGAAAATTGAAACTGTCCAAACCACAACTTGATTATATGTCAATCAGCCATTCACGATTTGATTTGTAATTTTACGCTCAAACCACACTGAACCACACTACACACACCCTTAACCATTAGTCCCTATAGTTTCAATTTAAACCCTACACTTTTCGATTTGTTGTAATGTGATCTTTCCGTTACTTATAGTTAAGATTTTGAATAGAAAAAGATTATGTACAAAACTGGATAGACAAAGATAGAATTCAAAGGAACTATAGGCAGCACTATAGGTAATATATTCATTGCCTCAATAATTTCTATAGTTCTCTTGAATTCTATTTTAGTCTCTCTAGTTTTTGCGTAGTCTTTTTGTTGTTCAAAATTTTAGAGAGGTAACAAGAACTTTCCAAGTCAAATTCATGGAGTTCTCATCTGTGATGACAGATGCCACCTCAACCATGAAGGGCTAATCTTCTTTCGTAGGGTTGGAAAGAGGCCTTAATCGAGTATCTTATATTGGTGTATTTTAATTTTAGTTTTGATTTGGTTTGGATAATCATTGTATAACATTTTCATGCAAATAAAGTTTTTATTCAATCAATGTATTCAATTTGTGTAATTGAGAATGCATGATCATACAACTATTTTATATGTTTGTAGGGGAAATGAATCATGCCACAACCCTAGTTTAGTGTGGACAATTCGTGTTAACCGAATATGATTCATGTCTACTATTTGAATATACTTACTCTTGATGATGATATCACGACTTGTAGCCGTGATACATCACTATTATTCAAATCATTGATTTACTAAAATTCAATGCATTAATTACTTGTTACGCGATTAGTGGTAGATTTGAAACTCTGAGCTTTTCTCTGCTTGAATTCCACCTTAAGTTTTCTTTTTGTTTAATAATTGTCTTTAATTAGTTAATTTTATATTCAAAACAAATATTCTTTTCATTTGAATAAATTAAGAATTGACTTCTAAGATTTAAACAATTTAGTCTTCTAGTGCCTATGGATTTGATACCTGAACTTGTCACTATTTTATAGAATCGAGATCTAGTTTAGTGTTTTTATTTTTAGTTGCAAATGACATACTTAGATGATAAGTGTAATTTATCCTTGTATAAAAGAGCCAAAACATTATGTGTGTCTAACGCATAAAGTACCTGATGTACCCTTATTGTGCAAATAGAATACCAGTTGAACCAATGTAGCTATCCTGTCTGCACTAGGATTGTTCAAATGATCGCCCAGCCTGAGCCAAATTGACTAGAAACAATCAACTTCATAAGAGAGATCAGTCGGCTATGGTTGGAAAAACAATGAAAAAATAATTCATTGGTCGACAATAGGTGTACAAAAATATGAACTGCCCAAATCGAACCGATCGTTGTATATGTGGCTTTATTTTATTGGCCTCTTGAGATTTTACTTATCACATTATAATCTATTATAATTTATCTATCTTCTATCTATATTATATATAAAGTGAACATCAATATATTCTATACTATCACTACGGGAAATGACACATTCAACGACTGAAATATTAGTCACCAAAGCCCCATATTTTAGTCACTAAAAGTCAATGGTGGCTAAAAATTTTTGTCGCTCAGATAGTTGGGAATAGCTTGTTGACGATAGTATTGGTGAGAAAATTATAATTTGGTCGCTAATTTAAAACTTTAGACTACTATAGTTGCCAAAAGGTCTCACACAAAAATGAATTCAACTATTAAAGATTAAAAGATTTAGTCGCCAATATAAATTTTTGACGCAACTAATAATACATTTAGTGACTAAACTTAGATAAGAGAGCAATACTCGAACCCAACACTTTAGATTTGATAAAGAACACACTTATCACTTGAGTGGCACATAAGATGTAATCATTGTGTTTGGTTGTGGTTTTTTGAATACGATTTTTTGAGAATTTTATACAACTTGTTTGGTCATTCGAAAAAATGAGTTATGTTTTTTAAAAAAATATGTAAGATCTTATTCTTCACGTGATGGGAATAGCCTAGGCTTTAGTGCAATCTACTTGTGCTTCTCTTCATAACCTAGGCTTTAGCCTATGGTACATATAGGTACATTTTTCTTTTTTTATTATTTACACAGACAACCTAGAACTATTTTTCAGTTTGACTATTTATTTAAATTTCATGGAAATTCTACGATTTCGAAAATAAATATAAACATAAATATATGATGTTTTAAATCGTAAATTTGTAAAAAAAAAATTATGATTTCATAAATAAATTTACACATCGATTCACATTTTTTTTTAATGCCAATTTGAAATAATTGGGCGTTTTTCTGAAATTACGGTTTCCGAAAATTTGTACATAAATTCACTGTGTTTTTTGGAAACTTGTATAAATTTACGTTTTTTGGAAATTTGTATAAATTTAGCATTTTTGCAAATTTGTAAATAAATTTTGGTTATTTTGAAATTTTTTATATAAATTTGCCAAGCGTACAATTTTGTGAATACAAATTTATGATTTCATTTTGTGCATAACATTTATGAAAATTTGATTATACGAAATAAATTTTTTAATGCCAATTTAGAAAAAAAAAATTACGTTTTCTATGGTTGCAATTAGTGGAAATTTTATAAAAAAGTGATACAGTTAATGGTAAGATATATACCCATAAATGGGTACATGTCGCATTATGTTTTCATAAAACCAAGCATGTATATATATATATATATATATGTATATATATATATATATATATATATAATGTACCTGAGAGAATGTTTTGATGTGAATTTTTTGTGTTTTTTTAATTGTTTCAATATTAACTTGGAGGAAAATTTGAAATTTTAATGATGTATTTTTTGAAAAACCAAACAAGGTTTTTTTTCAAAAAAGAGTTTTCAAATTATTTTTTCAAAAAAAAATTTCAAAAAAATGCAGCCGAGCATAGTGATTTATATTGATAAAATTTTAAAATAGAGGAAGCACACCTCAAGTTTTCGCCACCATATTTAGGGTTGAAAAGTCCAACATGTTTGCATCCGTTGGATAAAAATTTTAAAAAATAATAAATAAATATATCTTTCACTCACATTTTTTTTTTTGGTACTCTTTTTTAAATTTTTTTTAAAATTCATAATTAAAATAATTAAAATAATCCTATTTATAATCTTTTTACACCAAAAAA